CCACTGCACAGGATTGAGGGTTCCAGGAGGTCCCAGCATCAGGGAAAAGGGGGATACAGGGATTGGGAGAGGTGGAATGGGGGGATCCAGGGGGTCCCTCTTCCCAGGAAAGGGGGCCCAGAGGTCCCCAGGGTTGAGGAAAGGGGGTGACAGGTGGAGAGATGTGAGATGGCCAGGAATGGGGGTCCAGGGGGTCCCAGAATCAAGGAAAAGGGGGCATCTGGGAGTTGGAAGAGGCGGGATGACCGGGAAATTGGCTGTAGGGGGATCTCAATGCTGGATAAAGGGGTTCAGGAGGGTCCCCATTCCCAGGAATGGAGGTTCAGGATGTCCCAGGATCAAGGAAAGGGGGGTGCAGGGACAGGGAGAGGTGGGATGGGGAGTCCAGGGGGTCCTTTTGCCCAGGAATGGGGGTCCAGGGGGTCTCAGGGTAAAGGAAAAGCTGAGTCTGGGGTCTGGGAGAGGTGGGATGGCTGGGAAAGGGGGTGCAGGGGAGTGTTGGTGCAGGATAAGGGGGTTAAATTCGGACCTGGAGCTGGGGATGGTAGAGGAAAGTGGGGTCTGGGGGCTGGGAAAGGTGGGAGTGGGATCCAGGGTCTCTCAGGGTCAAGGAAAAGCTGAGTCTGGGGTCTGGGAGGGGCGGGATGGCTGGAATGGAGGTTCGGGGGCTCTTGCTGCCACATAGGGGAGTGTAGGAAGGTTCCTATTTGCAGGAATAGGGGTTCAGGGGTGTCCAGTGCCCAGGAATGCAGGTCCTGGGCAGTCCCAGTGCTGGATCAGGGGGTGCAGTGGGATCCCTGTGCCTGGAAATGGAGATTCAGGGGGATCCCCGTGAGCAGGAATGGGTGTTCAAGGGGGGGGTTCCCTTCCCAGGAAGGGGGTTCAGGGGGACTCCCAGTCCTGGGAATGAGGGTTCAGGGGGTTGTGGTACAGGATAAGAGCATTTAGGGAAGTCCAGGTGCTGGGGGAGGGAGTGCAGGATGGTCCCAGTGCCCAGGAATTGCAGTTCAGGGGGTCCCAGTGCCAGGAATGGGGTTCAGGGGGTCCCTGTGCCCAGGAATTGAAGTTCAGGGGGGTCCCTGTGCCCAGGAATGGCCATCGAGGGCGTTCCTGGTGCCTGGGACCCCCCCTGCAGGAAGCACAGGGAGGGGAGAACTGGGGGGGTCACAGAGATTGGCGGGTCTGGAGGGTCCAAAGGTCAAGGAAGAGGAACTGGGAGAGCTGGGAGAGCTGGGAAGGGTCCCAAGGGTCAAGGAAAGGGGGGGCTGGGACTGGGAGAGGTGGGATAGGGGATCCAGGGGGTCCCTGTGCCCAGGAAAGGGGGGTCCAGTGGTCCCTGGTGTTGAGGAAAGTGGGGTCTAGGAAAGGCAGGAATGGGGGTCCAAGGGGTCCCAGGGTGAAGGAAAAGGGAGGATCAGGGGGCTGGGAGAGGTGGGACTGCCAGGAAAAGGGACACAGGGGGGTATTTGTTGAGGATAAGCGGGTTCAGATGGATCCTGGAGCCGGGGATGGGGGTTCAGGGGGTCCAAGTGCAGGATCAGGGGGTTCAGGGGGTTCCCAGTCCCAGGAATGAGGGTCCAAGGGTGTCTCTGTGATGGATTAGGGGTTGCAGGGGGATCCCTGTGCCAGGAATGGGGGTTCAGGGGGGTCTTGGTGCCAGATAAGGCGGTTTGGGGGGTCCCAGCTCTGTGGGAAGGGGTCCGGGGGGGTTCAAGTGCCCGGGAATGGAGGTGGGGGGGATTCCCATGTCTGGGAATTGGGGGTTCAGGGGCGTCTCAGTGGCCAGGAATGGGGTTTCTGGGGGTCTCCTTCCGGAAATGGGGGTTCAGGGGGTTTCTATGCCCAGGAATGGCTGTTCAGGGGGGTCGAAGTGCCCCAAAATGGGTGTTCAGGGGGGTCTTGATGCCCAGAAATGGAAACTGGGGGGTCCTGGTGGTGCATGAGAAGGTTTGTGGGGGTCCCGGTGCGGAGGGGGAGGATACAGGGGGGTCCCGGTGCCCGGGAATGGAGGTTCAGGGGGGTCCCGATGCCCAGCAATGGGTGTTCAGGGGGGTCCCGGTGCCTGGGAATGGGTGTTCAGGGGGGTTTCCTTCCGGGA